TAATTTAAACACAACAGAAAGGTAACCAAGGGAAACATCGTTGTATACAGGGAATATTGGTTTACCCGGATGTGGGTAACATCGTTGGTTGATGTTAACCAACTTTCCCTGTTTACAGATAGAGAATATTCAAAGGTCTTCATAAATACTAATTCAAATATAAAAGTACACTTTACTGTTTAGATATTACAATACAATCCGATTGTATTTATAGTCCTATGTTTCGTAGTGGAATAAGAATTCTCTTTTCAAAATTCGTTAAGATACTAAAACAACAATCATACTAATATTATAAATGCGAAAGTTTAGATCCATCCATCCGGGATGTTTGTTAGAGTTTGTAGCCTAAACGGCTGAATCGATTTCGATGAAATTTGGTATAGATTTAGAGGACAGTCTGGAAGAACACAAAGGCTTTACTCACTTTTCTTTTTTTTTACATCCTCAGGGACGGAGTTGCGGACGAAAGCTAGTAAACATATAATAACCGCGAAATCATAAAGAACCTGTAGTTCTTCATATTTATGAAATTGTAAATAGAAACGTTTGTGTTTAGGGCATCTCTATAAACTAGATTCGAAGTTACGTGTATAAAATGTGCGTAAATAAGAGGACAACGGGGACATTGTACAATTATCGACTTCCTCGTGCCGACGCCACATCGTATGAAATCTGGCTTGCATGCCGTAATGCAATGTTTATGTAATGCAGCATACAGGCCAATACTTGCAAATATCGATTTACTAGCTTTCGCCCGTGACTCCGTGCACGTGGTATTAAAAATTAAACCTAGTAATTAATGTATTCTAGACTATCCTCTACATCTATGTCAAATTACATTGAAATCAGTTCAGCAGTTTAGGCTACAAACTCTAACAAACATCCATCTAAACTTTCACATTTATAATATTAGTTTGATTATTATAATTTTTGTAACACGAAGAGTATTGAACGTGTATGAAAAAGCAGATACTGGGTAAAATATTACATTTAATCTATACTATTATAATAAAGCGTAAACACACACTTCTTTGTTGCCTAACATGTCAGCGATCACATCATATTTTGGAAAATTTCTTTTTTAAATAAAAAGCCCTACACTTACGTCACACTTTAGGCTACATATTTTCACGAATCAAACTTATCATCAAACTTAGGGGGTAAATATTTTGGATAAAAACCCTAATGTGGGAAAGAGACCATAAGTTCCTGTCAACATCAAGATAGCAACATTGCCAAGGTTGTCATGTCATGTCATTTTGACATTTGTAATTGATAATTTGACAGTTGTAAACTATAAAATAAAATTTTCATAATTTCATGCGGATGAAGCCGCATAGGAACAGCTAGTCTGTCATAAAAATATAGTAAACAGACTACCGAATTAATGTCAACAATAAATAAAATATTTATACAATTTTGTAGCATCCGTTCTTCATTACATACATTAATAAATCAACAAGAAATCCACAGTTATCGCTTAAATAAAAGATGACCTACATCTCAAATACGAATAAGAAACCAAGCGCCGTGTTCTCCGCGAGCCATAAATATAATCTTTGACACCATACCGATGCGAATAGAAAGCAGAACGGTCCACCTAAACGGCGCGAATGGCATTAAATCGATACGTGATCGATACGAGATAATCGAGACAAGTGCGTATATCGATAGTATAATCGGATTGGAATTTGCATGCTAGTTTTCACCCGCTACGCTGCCGGAAGGCTCGTATCGATACGAGCATTAAATTGCGGGTGTCGACTTAAAGCCATATAAGATAACGGACGTCGGGAAGCCAGGAATGGGCACGTGGGCCAATGTGGTATTACTGACACGTGCCCCTAGGAAGAAAAAATAAACGATATGTTAGACGTCGCAGCTGACTTTAAACCATTTAATTTTCATATAGCGAAAAGAAAAGATGCAGTTTTTATTGGATGTGCAAATGATTGCCTATAGAAAAGTTTCTTTCTTTTGTTTCTTAACAATCCTATCTAAAGGCGTTGATATAATACTCTATAAATACAATGTGTAACAACACTTAAATAGACATCGAATCATGAAACAATAGTACATCAAGTTACTGGGGGTTAAAAGTTAAAGATGCAAGTGTCGATAGCAGTAAGAACAACACTACGCTAACATATAGAGCTAGTTGCCGAAATGAATCCAAGAAATAAACACGAACTCACCGATTCTCGAGAAGTATTCGACGAAGATGTTCGAGAAACGTGAGACAATGATAATGAAATCTGTTGAAGCATTCTTGTGTAAATTTCCATCGCATAAAGATTCAGAAGTGATGTAACTAGTTTGAAAAGTGAACTCGATAATCGTGCATTTGTGCACGCGCCACGCAAGGACAATCACACGGAGCTGGACGAAATATCACAACTAATTGTCTTATTTAAATGATGAATACTGATAACTATGTAGTGAACATTTCTAATTATAATTGTCTCTTTTCTTGATGTTGGTATTGATTAGGTCGACCAATTATTACAATTGATTTATAATATTTCTTTGATTAAGTGTTTACCATTCTTATAGTTCACGAAATGGATTTTCAAACTCGCTTATATTTAATTATATCTTAATGTCTGCTAATTGTAACTTTTCGTTTCATGATAGAGAAACCATTCAATTTTGAATCAAAAATAATATAAAACAAGATGCACAAGATGCCAACCATGTAACGCAAATTTTATCATCAGCTATATAAATACTGCTTGACAAAAGACATGCACTTGAGTCTTATCAGATTATACACAAAGATAAACAACATCGTCCTTACTAAAGGTAAATTTCGCGTCGAATTATCTAGAAGATAATTTAGAAGCAAATATTGATAAGGTACAAATAAATCTATATGCTTGATATGTTACTGATGTAGGTGAGAAAAGGGTAAAATTAACAAACAATGGCTTTTAATAGGTATACAAACAGAACCCTAACCCAAACCACCGACAAACGAACGAGTTTGGAATGTTAAATGAAAAACCGTAAAATATACACTCCGATAAACAAGGGATACTAGGAAGTCAATATATTAAATAATAGGTAAACAGAACAGAGAGTAGTCCATACTAATTTAAGTTATGCGTCAGCTTAAATTATAATATCGAGGAAAACCGTAACTGAAACATTGCAAACAAAAACTATCAACCAATCAAACTCAATAGTAAAACATAATTTCAAGCCATGATATATTTAAAAATTAAGTTCATAGAAAGTAATACCAGAAACATCATATAAAAGTGTGTGAAAATGCAAAAATGTATGATCGTTTGCATAATAAAAAGTTTACACTGAATGCTAAAAATTCCTAACGATACAGAACCTAATTGGTTTAGACACGCCAATAACAATTAACCGGTACATATCCTACTAAAGGAGACCATTAATAATACCACTTTCGAATATCACGATAAAGTTCATTAAACGTTGAAACAATGGACAGTCGACCGATTTGCTGATTGAACGAACACCTACATGCTGCGGCGAAAGTGATCTGTCACTCGGTTGATTGTCGGGAGATATTTTTGTGTCCGACCGCCAGGCTTCGTACGTCCCATCGAATTTGAGTTCCTTTATTAATGCGACAAGAAAAAGCGTGGGTCGGCGTGACTCAAACGGGTCTTGGAACAAGTCGCGCTCAACGGAGAATATAAAGATTGGTATTTTTGAAAGAAATTCTTTAAGGAACGTCACTTTATACTTTATCGTTTTATTCCACTTGTTTTTATACGTTGGTGAATATTGAAGAATAATCGTATTTTATCGGGTGAATTGAATTTAATTCTACAAAACTATTTCGATAGTTTTGTGTATTTGTTTGTGTTTACTAGGTTTTAATTACAATCAGGAGAACCTTGTAAATGAGTGAAAGATAAGACGCAACTATTAAATTGCATCCACGCCAGTCGTGAAAGTGCAAAAACAGATCGTCACGTGTGATTATTGAGACAATTGACGGCCTTGTTATAATGGCTCGGCACGTCAGAAGACGCTCGCAACGTAACAATCACGAAACAGAACAATAATAAGATATTGACCAACTTCGAAACGAGGCCTCGAGGGCCGTTCATCAAATCTTTGTATGGGAAGCTAACGTCAACGTCCATTGCATAATCTGAGTTCCATGGGTCAGTGTTTACAAACATATTTTGTAATAGTTGCAAGGTCGTTAGAAGAATGTTCTTGATAATTAACGATGTTCATAAGAACAAATGGAAGATGAAGGACAATGGTATCTAGGATTCCTGAATATCTCTGATCTATTTCATATTACTGCAGTATTTATTAGAATTTGACCTAGCAACCAGATTACATCGAGTTCGTAGCTATTTAAATCAAATTGTCGCATGAGCTCACTAGTACTTAATGGCAGCAATCTAGCATCCTAAAAAACATAACGATGGTAAAATTATTTAAAAAATAACCACCGGGTGGTTTCAAGTTTAAAAATTATAAAGTGAAAAGGATGATATTTGAGACGTTGCGAAATACCACCAGCTGTTCGTTGGACAGTCGGCAGATGACTTGGTACTTTCTCTCGAAGGTTGCGGCACTCCCCTGCTTCGGGCGCGCTTTTTGCATTGTTTTGGTTAATGCGATAATATTATTATCGTTGCATGAAATTGAAAGTTAATGTGCTATACGCGCCGGTTGAAAAATCGAAAGCAAAGCGTTCAGCTCCTTGAGCAGATTGGATTTTAACGTTTCATCTGATTATTGCTTGTTACTTTCGCTTTACGGCTTTTGATCAAGAAGCTAAAAAGTGAATTTAGCAAAGAATTTCGAAACTACATTCAAAAACATAAATATTATCATTATTGGATTGTGCTACCATAATTAACTTATTTGTGTCCGCGATTTTCATGTCAGAGATTTCATTTTTGTGTGTAATATTTATTACCAACTTTCTTGTAATATATCAGTTCGTCTTTATAGTTGTTCTGAGCTTGCGTGGGAGTAGAAAAATACGTAGAACTCACCCTCTCGCATGGTGGAGGCGGCATTGTTGCGTCCACTTCTGCGTAGATGCACAAAGTGGACTTCCTCGATAGAGAATCGCTGGCGAGGCTGCTCGAACTGGAGCCCGTTGAAAACTTCATGGTTGTGCATCCAGACACAGCGTACGTATCAGGAGTGATCAGGTGACGTCCAGTTGCACTTCCATGTGGTGTTGCCGGCACATCACACAAGTGTTAGCCACTTCCGACACTATCGTTCATTCGTAGCTATCGTTGGTGACGCTCGTGTCAATAGTTTGAGAAGTCGTGGGCTTCTGTCGTAGTTGAATCGATCGTTTCTTCACGATTAGATTAGCCTGAAACAATACAAATTAAAGTTGTTAAAGAAAGGTTAACGTTATTGATTTTAGATTTTATTATTTTCCACAAGTTACATGGTTTTGTGCATAATTTATTTGCACAGAATAGTTGTAGGATCACTTACGTTATTAAACGATGTTATGTACGAGCGCACACAACTAAATCTGTGAAAAGACTGACAGATCCTTTATAAAGTCTAGTAAACAACTTTCAATACTTAAGACAGGACCAGATAAGATCTTGCTGTCCTAGCAACAAAAATATACATATTTGTGTATGGAATATTCTACCAAGGATTTTCTTTTTGTTATTTTTAGCCGGTAAATGAGAATGTGCATGTTTTTATAAAGTTTTTACAGATAATTAGACTAGAGTTGCATATAAAGAGATTTGTAATTAAAAGGAGATTCTTCCTGAATATTATATGTTTGATTTGATATTTGCATTGATTATTTTAAAAAAATGCATTAGGAACTTAAATCTTAGTAACAAAACAAAAATAATGGGTCAATTAACCTTTTAAACAATATATTTATATTTAAAAAGATCAAGCCTTTTAAATATCATGCAACAAGGTCACCTTGAAAGTAAACGTCGATGTTGCTAAGCGTTGTAAATATAGATTTAAAAGCAGATGATCGCAAAATCATAATATAAATGAACACGTTAAGGACAAATTCACAGATTTCCAATAAAACGAAAGGAAAATTAATAAAAGATGACATGATTTTTAATTTATCTGGAATCATTCTTACTTCTTACTAATATTATAAATGCGAAAGTTTAGATCGATGGATATTTGTTAGTTTGTAGCCTAAACGGCTGAAGTGATCTTGATGAAATTTGGCATAGTTGTAGAGGATAGTCTGGAAGAACACATAGGCTACTTGCTTTTGTTTTTTTTTATTCCGCGCGGACGTTGCCGCGGGCGAAACCTAGTGACTTTTATTTCGAAGTCCTGCGGGTTTTTTTTTCTTATCATTGCATTGAATTACTGTAACTTTCTAGTATGCTATTTAAGCTAGATTTTAATAAATTTACATGAGTTTATCTTTGCAATGCCCTCTCAGCATTCGAGATAAACAACCCAACTCTATCAATATGCAAGTGTGCAAATGGGCAAAAACAGTGCCATAAAATTAACAATTCTGGTAACACAAAGCACATTTTAAGAAAGGATATACACTTATATAGGTAGAAACATTAACTTTACGGTAAATTGTAACCAACTTGAATACGAAACACGGTGGCCATTTACTGCGCGATTGCAATTGAATGCCAGTTTCGAATTACGAACAGGATTTAAAGCTTGTTATTTTGTCTCTACAGTCATAGGGATGGGACACGAAAATTTACATCGATAAAAAAATATAAATACTTTCATAATAAAATTCGAACAGAATGATTTAAACACTATTGGTCGTTGAAGACAATAGATATGACTATGAAAAGAAAACTAATAAAGATAGTGAATTAACAAAGCATACAATCTAGTAAGAATACATGGTAATTAAAAGTATACATATCAGTGGGAAAGGACAGATAAAAAGGTAGCCAACAAAAATGTACTACAGTAGAACTTCGATAAGTTAAAGTCCGAAGGAAACACAAAATATTTTAAGTTATAAGGTTTTAAGTTATCAAGGGTCTATTTTGTAGAGGTTTAGGGCTCGGATGGGAAGGGAACATATTATTTTTTTGAAGTTATAGAGGTTTGAGTTATCGAGGTTCTACTGCATTTTATGTTCAGATTTTTATGTACTACAATTTGAAAAAAACAAACATCGAAGTCTCGGAGCACTTCTCTAATTACCTCATAGCCGAATATTTTCATAGTTAAGGGCTGCAACATTTTACTGCTATTTAAATGACTCTTCCAAGCATTAACTCGTTTAACGTCTTGATAATATGGTTACGCAAGACCGAAATGCTCGGGTCCGGTGCATCCGCGGCGCCGGACGATGAACACGTTACGCAACGACACAAAATATCCCGGATGAACAGTCCGACCTACTATTACGCGAGATTAGACTGTAATCTTACGCCGTTTACGCGAAGTAGCACGTAAATATTGCGTAATTTTTGTAAAGTAATCTAGAATATAGAAGTATGTGTAGTTTTAATCATAGTAAAAAGGTTTAATTGATTAGTGTAAGTAACTAAATGCAGTATAGTCTAAATCCCACTGTTGGTTATTTACGCGTATGAAAAAGAACATAATATTCATTGCCTAGAAAATTACACTTACTAGCTTACGCCGGCGACTCCGTCCGCGTAAATAAAACATAGCCAATGTTACTCACTGACAACGTAACTTTTTAATGGTGAAAGAAGTTTTGAGTTATTTCATTACAATCAAACAAAGTTTTCCTCTTTATAACATTAGTATAGATATGACATTTATCTTAAATACTGTTCAAACTGGCCACTAATAATATTTGTTGCCAGTTTGAACATTTGTTTTGTTTTTTTTAATTAATATGTTTAATCATTAATCAACTTGTATACAAGCACTTAAATTGATAATTACGAGAAGATAAAACTTTACAGTATAAATTATTGTTTTATTGTTAAAATAATATGAGAATTATAAATGCATTGTAAACAACACAATACGAATCGAGATTTCAATTAAAAAAATCCCTTAATTTTATATCCCTTTAAAATAAACACTTCGTAAATTTTACAATAACACTTGGATCTATAGTCTATACTAAGACTATAAAGTCGTAAGATTTGTATTTTTATCTATTGAGATAAATCAAAAAGTACTTGGCCGATTTCAAAAAATCTTTCACAATTAAAAACTACGTTTCACTGAGTAATATGTTACTATATTTATTAATTTCACGCGGCCGAAGTCGCGAGCAACACCTAGTAATTAATACAATTGTGCCCTTAAACTGTGAATTTAATTATTACCAAGAGAAGTTTAAGAATTTTCACCATGAAATGACCGCATTTTAAGGTAACAAAGGACCTTATCAGAGAACAGGACAAAAAGCCCTTTCAACTCATACGTCATAGAAGAAACGAGAACGTGAACACTAACGACCTTCGTTTGAAACAAAGAAATGCGCAACAATAAAACATTAGTATGACATGGGAAAAACCGATATTGCGACAGAAGTAGGCAACATGCAAGAGATTTTACACGAAGGTAGAACAGTAGAATAGTCAGCAATGCAGTACATATCCGTCTCACTGGTGCGTCACTCCCTCGTGGATAACTAGCGTAGCGAGAAATTCATTCCTAGACTTAGGTTCGAATTTAATCAAGTTAGAACTACTGAGAATTTTATTCGTAATTCTATGTAAACATTATTAATAGGATTGATGTATAGAAATAGTATTTTAATGTCATCCGAATTAACACTTAAAAACTTCAATCGAAGCACCCTAATATAAATACACACAGATTAAAACAAAAATACTTTTATCATAGCTACTGTAATAATGTCATAACAAATAATTATACAGAAGAGTAGACAATCTGTACTCTACTATCATAATAAAGCGTAAACACTCTACTTCCTGACGTATGATGTCAGCAATCACAAAATATTGTTAAATAATTTAAATAAAATTTACTTTAATATAAAGCCCCACACTTACACGCTGTAGACTATATATTTTGACGCTAGTAAACTTAGGGAGTAAGTAAATAGAAAAAATAGGCACCAAAGCTACAAGCCGCTAATATTAAGGAAGCAAAGTTATTATGGTAACGGTAATTTTAACATTTGCAATTGAGGCTGACAAATGTAAAAAGTAAAATATTTTTTTTATAATTTGACGCAGATAAAGCTGCACAGGAACAGCTAGTTATTAATAATTTAAAAAATGTGTTACTAAATGGAAAAGAAACTAACTCGACGGTAAGTATTCCAGTAACATCCGAACAGAGCACAATAAATTTCTTTAACAAAACACTCGTATACATTTGAAACTGAACTGACGTATAAAAGCGTACGATATATACTAAAGGGGTTAACGTTTGTTAAACAACAAACAGGAACACGACACGCCACACACGTAAAAGCGCGCGCACACCTTGGATTAAGCAATCGCACAACTGTTCGATTGTCGATTGTTTCGCCAATTCAACAGTTTAGTACAACTAAAGCGTAGTGTGTGCTATTAGCTCATAGAAATCGAATCTAAACTAAACAGTTATGCGATAGATTAGTCAAGTGTGCGCGCGTTTAAATGAATAGTTAAGTCAGTACAGGAAATACTGATCGAATGCGTTTACCGTATTATCTTTCAAAGAAAGTTTTTTTTAAAGGAACACGTTTTTGTTCACGATTGCAGTTAAGGAATTAAATTCGCTTCCCCCTTGCGATCGAATGTCTAAAAGCTGTTTAACATGTTTTATCGAAATGACTAGGAAATAAACGTCCTATACTGTTTCTATGTGATTCGTAGTAAACTAAACAACATGATTTTCAAATGTGAACAGTTTGTCGTATAATAAATACGTTTTTGTACATGTGCTGAAATATAAAATGGTTATACAGTTATATAAAATATGCAAATCGGACGGTAAACGTCGGTGTATGAAAGAGATAATCTTGAAGGACATCTTGAAAACAAATCTCGGAAATGTAACAAATAAGTACATGTTTTAGGATAAAATATTACCGCGACTTATGCTGAGATATCAAAGATATTGTTATTTCAGTTTTTAGGATGAGAATGAAAAGGACAGGTAACATGAATTTGGACAGATTAGTTGGCGGTGACACCAAATTATTACTCGTGTGTGTCGCCAATGACTTCGTGCACTAACACAGAACGCTTTTCTCGTCTGCTTAATACCGACATATAAAGCCTGCTACACAGGCTTAGTTATATGAACAGTCCGGTTATATCAATCTAAAGTGTGTAGACAAAATTGAGAAGTACAGTTCCCAACTTTGTCAGATTATAGACTTAACATGTTGTCATGGATTCATCTGCAACGTTTCTGAACACGAATAATAACTACACATAA